TTCGTGCGTATTATTTTTTATAAAATTTATTTTTATATCGACGCATTAAATATTATTATAACATATTAATTCATCATATTTCATATATATATATATATGTATATTATTATATATTAATAATATATTGAAAAATGTGTAATATTAAGATAATCGTTTAATCTCTGATAATACGTTGTCATTGTTATTGTTTATAAATGTTCAATTTATGGTTCAGTCAACGATTAACCCACGAATTATTCGAATTACAGGAGTAACATGAATCATTACTGAACATAAAATTCATTTGTAAAATATTTCGTTTGATTCTTTCTGCGGTTTTTTAATAGACTATTCACTCACATACATACGTACATACATACATAGATACATACAATCATATGCACATATGCATACGTGTAAGCGTAATTAGATCTCCTTTTGCGTTATTACTATGGTGTTTCAATTAACTGTGTTAAATCGCAAAACCACACGGGCGCAAGTATATATCACGCATAATGGTGTGCCGAGTGTATATATGTGTGAATATATGTGGGCTTAAGGATACGCCTGGTAACATGGTTCATTAATTAAAGTAATTTTCTACGTTCGCCAACCTTTAACCAAGTCCAATAAAAAGTAATAATTTCGTTTAATACCAATCATATTAGAAAACTATACTACCAGAAATTCGTAATAGATATATCAATTAAATATGCATGTAGTTATACCAATGTTCTTAACAAACGATAGCAAACAAAAACATTGTAGAACCTGGTGGTCATCGTAACGTTTGCACTTTTCAAAATTAAAAACTACATATTAACTAACAAAATTACTATATACATTATTTTATTTTACTAACAATAAGTCTAATCGTAATATAATCATTCGTTAATTAAAAATTAAATTATTACTTATATTTGAATTATTTTCAAAGATCTTGTATATTTTGTTACATACTAATTATAATTATTCGATAATTGACAAAAAAAAAAAAGTTCGCGTTAAATTTGATTATTAAAGTTTTAAATTGAAAACTTCGAATCTCTGTTAAAATTTCAAACAAATCTTCGAATGGAATACGTTCGAACGTTCGAGTTAAAATGAAAAGCTTTCTCGAAGTTGTTACTTTTTCCCTTTTTTCTTTTTTTTCTTTTTTTTTGTTTATTT